GCTGTAGTTCCTGTGTCAACCCATCTCCTCGAAGGTCTTCCTCTCCTTTTGCTGAGCCTCTGTGTTTCCAACATGACGCCCCTTTCCAAGGACTGGCCCCACTGACAACATGCCCAAAACATTCGAGGTGAAGTTTCACCATTCTCACTTCTAAAGAGCATTCTGGAGATACTTCTTCCAAGACAGATTCATTTGTTCTTTGGATAGCCCATGATCTATTCAACTCGGTCATCTTCCTTCTGAACTGTAGGCCTTCTTCCAGTTTCATCTCTCCTGTTCTCATGTCTTTGAAAATTCAGATAGACCTAAGAAAGCATCAGTTATCTAAGAAAAATGTCAGTTTGAGGACTAAGGTGTGTCTGACACAGGCCATGGTCTTTTCAAACACTTGCTGTGCATCTGAGAGTCGGACGATGAATAAGGATGACAGAAGAAGAATTGATGTCTTTGCACTGTGGTGTTGGAGAAGAGCATTCAATACCCCATGGATGGCCAAAAGAACAGATAGATGAATAAGGATGACAGAAGAAGAATTGATGTCTTTGCACTGTGGTGTTGGAGAAGAGCATTCAATATCCCACGGATGGCCAAAAGAACAGATAGATATCTTTCAGAGAAAGTGCAGCCAGAGTGCTCTTTGGAGGCAAAGATGATAAAGCTTCATCTCACATACATCGGACATGTCGCTAGGAAGGCCTATTCCCTGGAGAGGGATATTATGATCAGAAATACAGAGGGTCGGCAAAGGAGATGAAGACCCTCAACCAGGTGGATTGACACGGTGACTGCCACAATTGGCTCTAATGTGTCAGAAAGTGTGAGGATATCACAGGTAGGACTGGTTCAGATCTATTGCTTGCAGGATCACTGTGGGTAGTGACTCCACTCGACAAGACCTAACAATACCAACAACAAAAAGAAAGTGCAAATTTTGAAGATTTGCCTATAATAAAGACAGCCCTTGAAATGGACTAAGCTGATGCATTACTGAGAATTCAGGAAAAGTGTGCTCAGTAAGAGGTAGAAGTCAGAGGTACATGATAGTCTTAGTCTACTTTCATTATAGGTGAAGAACTAAAGTTTTTAAACCTAGGAAGTCTGGGAAAATGAAATGCAGCCCCATATAAGGCAATGTATATTGTAGGAAAAACAGAGATTCTATCCTGGAGGTTGGTGTAATTGCAGCAGAATTGTTATGTGCTGTCGAGTCACCCATGACCCATAGAGACCCTCTGTACAGTGTCTCTGACGCCTGCCCTGTCTCGAGCCAGTCTCACTAATTCTGACACACCAACCCTTATTGCCTCAGTTACTGTATCAATCCATCTCATCTGGGGTCTCCTGCACCGTCCCTCGACCCTTCCTTCTCCAAGGACTGGTCTTCCCTGGCCACGTGCCCCAAGTGTGTGAGACGGAGCTTCAGAATCCTCGCCTCCATGGAGAGACTTGCTTTCACCCTCTGCAAGACAGACCCATTTGTTTCCTTTTCAGTCAATCGTATGTTCAACACTCTTCAACACTCTTCTCCAGCATCGATTTTTCTGTCATCCTTAGTCATTGCCCAACTCTCTGAAGCATAACAATTAATTGCGAAGACCATGGCCTGGACTAGGCACACCTTTGTCTCTAGTCTGACATTGTTTTTCAACATTTTGGGGAAGTGCCTGACATCAGATTTTTCCAATGCAATTCATTGATTGTGGAGCCGAGCAAGCTGTAATTGTTAACAACCTCAATCTCTTCTCCGTCTATCATGGTGCTGCCAGTTGGCCCAGTGGACATTGTGTCCACTGTGACAGCAATGTAAACAGAGGCACTAAGTCACAAAACTTAACAGAAGCTCAGTAGCAAGGAACTTCCCTCAGTACTGCCTCAAACAAAATATGTCACTGAATTGGTACAGCCAATTTGGACTTTCATTCTCCTAAACAAAAGACAACAGCATGAGAGACTAGTAGAAGTGTGTGGTGCAAGCCATCACAGAAGTGACTTGTGGACTAAACTATCATATCAAAAGGTGGCCGAGGAAGGGAGGCTTTGACCAGCTAGCTGGGAGTGCAAGGAGGGGTGATGTAGCAAGGAAAGGGAAAAGACAAGACACACATGCTTGGGTGAGGAGGTGGGGGGCAGTGAATGTATTGGTTATTTCTGTAAGGAAAGCATCTTTCATCTGCTCAGTAAAATGCTTGTCAGATATTGTTCTAAAACTAAGCACCCAAATTTAGACAAACTAGGAAGAAGGATAGGCTATTCACTTCCAAAATACAACAGGCCTTCGAAAACCCTATGTACAGCAGAGCACACTTAGGGTGGACTAATAGATATGGCAACTGAGGCTCATCAGATGAATTAAAAGGTGAAAACAAATGCTTAAAGAAGCTTCTTTGTTCAGTATCTTTCACATCCATGATTTTCACATAGCCTGTTAGGCATGCTCATTGCCATTGAGTCAGAACTGACAGACCTGCCACTGTGTTGTTGGAGGCAGTAAACCACCAGATGGTGTAGGTCTTAGAAAGTTGGGCTGCTAAGACAAACGTAATGCCACCCTGGGAGTTCAAATCTGTCAGCTGCTTCTTGGTAGAAAGATTTCCTCCCATGCGATTTATAACTTCTGATGGATGGTCAGCTATGAGCCGATTCTGACTCAAAGGCAATGTGAATTAGGAAGAGTAATTCTGTAACTCCTTGTAAAAGTTTGACACTGGGCAAATGATGCTAGCCTGGGTTGTTTGTTTGGTTTGTGTGTGTGTGTGTGTGTGTGTGTGTGTGTGTGTGTGTGTGTGT